ATGAAAATGATAAATATTTCAAATGCAGATTTATTTATTTTAATCAGTATCACCCCATGCAAAGCAGTAAAGCCACTAAGACAAAAGGGGTTATAAGATGTGGAAGAATTAGTAACAGGAACATTAATAACGAGCGCAAAGAGGAAAAAGTAATCAGGAGGACAGTAGATAGTGATTGACATTGCATTTAAATTTTTGCAGATTAAAGTTGGCTGAAAAGTATGCAGTCAGAAGGGAGTTCCATAAGCAAGAAGAAATTATTCCTCTAGTTAATATAATACAGAGTTAATAAGGAGCAAAGCATGTTTAATTTTTTTTTTTACCAAAAGCTGTGCTTCTTACTCTGTAAACCTCTATCTTGAGTGGCTCTTGAGCCTTGTACAAGGTGAACATCATTGTTAAAAAAAGAAGACAAAAACAAAAAGGCATCAGTTTAATTGCATTCACCCAGTTCTGATGTTTGTGAAATATGGAATGAATAAATTTCAGAACAAAGAAAATTTTAGATGGCTGACATCAATGGAATTGAAGTAATATTAAATTAAATTTTGCAGTTTACAATTTTTAATTAAGAGTTTGAATCCTTAGATTTTAACAGAGGTGAGAAATATTTTGTTTCTATTTAACAAATTTATATTGCAATTCTTTGAAATGCTGTAGGGAAAATAAAACGTTTTATTCTCTCGATCCTTGCAGGTATACATTGAGCAAAAATAAATTAAAAATAATTCATTTCAGGCACATAAAATCTTTCTATCTCAGAGCTTACAAAAATGGAATTTAGAAACTTATATGATATAATTAAAGCGAGATTTATAGCCAAAAAATTATGAAATTATTTTTTGTCTCATAATTATTGATTTGTAGAGAAATTATTATGGAAAGATTATATTGAATCAATTACTAGGTCTGCTGCTAGGAAAATTGATTTCTTGTGTTAGACAATTTTTCTCACCAAAATAAAGTCTACCATTTGCCCAGGCACTGAATATTGCTGCTCCATCTGGTCTGGTGTCCCTGTTATATATTTAGAGATTATTGATAAAATTCAAAGAAGAATCTGCAATGTTATTGGTCCTGACCTGGCATCTAGCCTTCAGTCACTTCCCCACCATCATAATGTAGCTTCTCTGGGCCTTTTCTCTAAATACTTTCATAGTAATTGTTCTGATGAACTTTGCTCTATGGTATCATTAGTTCTTGCTTTGAATATTGCTACCACATCTGGTCTGGGGCTCCTGCTATGAGATACTTGATAAAATCCAAAGTAGAATCTGCAATCTCATTGGTCCTGACCTGGCATCTCAGCTTCAGTCACTTTCCCACCACCATAATATGGCATCCCTCTGCCTTTTCTATAAATACTTTCATGATAATTTTTCTGATGAACTTTCTTCTATGGTACCTAGACTTTATGAATCTAAGTGCAGTATTGATAGCAAGGTCTCATCATTTTAGTTTTAGTGCTACAAGTCTTACTAATTAAGCTGGGAGGAGAAGAGGTGCATTCATACATTTCCCAAAGGTATTTGCACAAAAGTGAATATAACAAACCCAACTGAAATTGTAACGAATATGCAATGTGATTGGCCCTGATCTGGCATCTCATTTACAAATACTTTCAGGGTCACTGCTCTGGCAAGCTACTTTTGCTGGTTCCCAAACAGCATGAATTTAAAAGTGCTACTAGGTTGGCATCTCAGTTCCACCCTTTCACTATCAAAACAGTTAAATATAACCATCTCTTCTACTCCAATAGCTTCATGTCTTGCTCTTCCTGTCTGTGGAACTCCCTTCCTCTTACTTGCTTCCCTGATAGCTATAATCTCCAAATATTCAAATGCAATGTCAATTGACATCTCCAGATGCCTTGATTTATTCTCTGTCCTTCGCTTCATTCTTTCCTTTATCATGCCTCTTTACTCTTGCTCCCACTCTCTGTAACACCCTACATGCTAGTAGCACTCCTGCCTTGCTTGGGGTGAAATGCCTAAAAAAAACTATCCAATTAACAATTCCAAGCCATTAACCCTTGCACCACCTACAAATCCAAGCTTACAGTACCTAGTAATTCTTAAAATCTAAAATATTTTCTGGCTTTAAATAACCTGTAAAAGGTTTGATAAGCTGTAAAAAAATAGTAATTATTAAGTTTCCTCATTTTGTATTAGCTAACCTGAGAGTAACTTGGCTTCTTGGAAATTCTACATATGTTGGTATCTGAGATTATTCATTATCCTGTGCCTTCTAATTCTTTTACTTCATACATTCCAGGTTTCATTGCCCATTCATAATTTTATCTAAATGTTATAAAAACAAGAATTAGTTTCAAGTGTGAAAAAGAAATAAGAACTGCACAAATATTTTTCTACTTCACCCTCTCTTTTATCTTTCTTCTGCTCTGTCTCTTCATAAAGAATTTTAATATATGCCAATGTTTTTTATCCACTCATCCCTACCTGCTTTACAATTTTTATTCATTGATATTCAGCCAGCAATCCTTCCCCTCTTTACTTTTTGTTTATCATCCTCCCTTCCCATGTCTCTCTCTCTCTCTCTATCTATCTATCTATATATATATATATATATATATATATATATATAAATAAAAGATTTGACACTTAGCTGATTGATGTAAAGTCTCAGCATCCCGACTCCAGAGTTTCATAATCAAACCCTTCGTCCACTCATCAACTGACTGCTTATATTTCTCAATTGTTCTTTTTTATATGCACTTATCATTAGTGAATCTTTTTTTATAGTGTGTGTGTGTGTTTGCACATACACACGTGCCCAACTGTGCATATGTGTAGAATGTCATTATTATTTGTCCTTTTCATCATTTTTTGTTTTTTTCTTTGCTTTACACTCAGTCCTTATCCTTCTTTTTCCTCTTTTCTTTCAATTGTTGCCATTTGGTTTCCTTTTTTTTTTTCTAGACTTGTCATTTTTAATTTTTGAGTGTTCTAGTCTTTTGTTGAGTTATGAAAATTGTATTTTGTTTTTTACATAAATAATTGATTTTAAGTTTTAAATGATAAAGTAAATATTTATATATGTCTTCACTTGACTAATATTCATTTTTCTTATCTAGTTTGGTGGTATCTAAAAGTACTTTTGAAGTATTAATTGTAGGAGGTTAGGTTTATAATTTAATTTTTATTCATTATTGTTTGAATTTATATGCAATATACTTGTATTTATGTTTGCACACCTTTCACCTAATTTATTTTTCATTTCTCTAGTTTTTTACATCCTACATTTTGTCTTTTTCTCACTTCTTTTTTTTTCTATCCCTCTGCTTCCCTTTCTTTTTCTTTTCTACTTAATATTATGTAAGTTTCTTGGTTAAAATGTGCAACTGATTTCAGCTCAGAAGACATCAGGTTTTTAAATAGACATTTCATTCTGACCCTAAGTAGAAAAATGTAACAGTCACTCATATAATCAAGCAGAATAATTGTGTAAAACATTATCCTTTCTGGGGTTGAACTGACTTATATTCAAAAGTTGATCATATAATTTCAATATGGAAGTCTTTAAAAGATTTTTCATGACTTACGTACAAATGTTAGACTCAGTGAATGTTTTCATTTTTCTTTTAAGTATTGAAAATACTGTTGCAAAAGATCAAACAATATCATTGTCTTGAATATGAGATGCATTCTGATTTCTGACATGTGCATCTTTTTAAGCATAAACTTGCAAAATCAACATTATATCAAAAGTATTTTTGTTTTTACAGAACTACTCTAAATCTTATTTCATGTGCTCTTCTATGACTCCATTATATTATTCATATTGTTAATAAATATATATATATATAATACATAAAAGGCTAATAGTCAGAGTTGAATCAGACCAAGAAACAGTACTATTAAAAAGTGCTCAATACACATGTACAAAATATATAAAAATAACACAGCTTTTAACTTTAAAAATTAAGAAATCAGTTGAATCTGCTACCTTGGTTTCAACCTTATGGGAGGTCAATTGATAAAAATCACCTGAGATATCATAAGGTTGAAACCAAGGTAGTAGATTCAACTGATCTCCTAATTTTTATATATATATATATATATATATATATATATATATATATGTTTTTCCTCACATGGTAGCATGATGCAATAAAAGTGGACATTGAAGTCAACACCAAGTGACAACAGTCTGTTTCATGCTTAAATTCTAGCATCAGGCCATGTGTGTTGTGTTTCTGCTTGACTATATATGCACATCAATCAGGCATTGTAGGTCATCTACTGTATAATTCTGTTATTTTGGTGGGCTGTAACGGTTGTGTTTCGAATTATTCTCAGGACTATTAAGTGGGAATAATTGTGGATCTGCCCATACATATAGATAAAGCTTATGGCCATATCACTGGTTTAAACACTCATTCTCATATGATTAAGCAACATTGAGGCTGGTAGAAGGGTGACTGCTTGGAAATATCAGGTGATGTAAGCTTGGATGTATGGCTGGTATAGTGGATAATGGTTTAGAAAAGGAAATCAGAATAAAGGTCTTTAAAGTCTCAGAAGAGCTAGGATCATCAAAAGATACAAAATGTAGAGCATTACATAAACTTCATGAAATTAGCTTTGGATAAAGGTTTATAAACTTTCCAAAGAGCTAGGATCAGCAAAAGATACCATATGTAGATCAGTACATAAGCTTCATGAAATTAGTTTTGGATTAAGTGTCTGTAAACTTTCAGAAGATTGAGGAAAATCAAAAAGGTTCATGAAATCATTTTTGGAGTAAAGGTCCTTAAACCTTCAGAAGAGCTAGGATCTTTAAAAGATACCAGATGTAGTGTATTAGATGTGCTTCAAACACCTATTGTTGAAAAGAAAATGCAAATAACTTTGATACAACTTAATATTACATTTGTCTGAATACTCATAAAATCTTCTTTGTTTTAGTTTCCTGTTCTTACTTTAACAGTGATGTATTGTGTAAACTAAAATGTTTTTCTTTTGTTTTCCTTTTGACAGGAAATTGGAGGTTTATCTCGTGGTAAGGACAGTGAACACAAACAGTTCATGAGTCCTGATTGTCACAGTGAACGAGAGGATGGACCCAGTGGTGGAGACACTGGTCAAAATAAGCAAGAGGGTGAGTAGTGTTTTAATTTATCATCGAGCTGTAATCAAAAAGGATTTTTTCTTATGTCTCTGAACATTTAAACTCCTAGCAACTATCTATTCAAAACACAACCATTGCAGACCACCAAAATAAAAAAAAAAAATAATACAATAGACTACCTAAAATGCCTGACTGATGTGTATATATAGTAAGCAGAAACACAACATACAGGGTCTGATGCTAGCATTTAAGCATGAAACAGACTGTTGTCACTTGGTGTTGACTTCAATGCCCACTTTTATTGCATATGCTAATATTGCGGAAAAAAACGTGTATATATATATATATAGTGTAACCCGGATATAAGATAGATTTTCTCTGGTCCCAAATTAGAGCATGTGTTAATGTATATAAATTCGACCAAACCCGGATATAAGAGACTTCTTCTCCGGTCCTGACAACTCTCTTATATCCGGGTTACACTATATATATATATATATATATATATATATATATATATGTTTCCATGGTAACCATGCCAGAAAGGGTTTGGTTCATGTCAAAAATTAAAATTTTCCGAAGTGTATTGAGGTATAATTAAAACATAAAGGTATTTTATGCTAAAACATTTTTTTTTTTTTAGATGCCTTTAGTATCAAGAGGAATAATATTAAGAAAAAATATATAGTTTACTGCAGTATTGTTGCATATTTAGTTTGAGAGATGTTTAATTATAAATTCTCAAGACTATTGCAGTATATATTTGACATGGCGAGGTATGTATGATGGTTTATGCTGATGCAAAAGTCATTTGTCCTAGTTTGTTTCATTGATCCATTCAGTAGTATCTAGTTACTGAACAAATCACTGACACCCGGACCATTATAGTTGCAAGGTTTCCATGCATCTAGATATTGCAGTGCTCTATGTTATAGTGAGTGTATGTACACACACACACACACACACACATATATATATATATAAAAGAACTGATTCGATGTGCAAATTTTCGGGATAACAACTGAGACATTACTTTATTTATTGAACAGTTTAGTTCATGCCACATTGACTGATAAACACCTACAACAAAAAAATTCTCAAATTGCCATATTAATAAAAAACGTGCTCTCTTAAATCTTCCAAAAAATTCAGCCTTAGCATTGCGACTGCACATTCCAAAAGTTTGTATGTGTTAACAATAACAGATTTAAAAAAAAAAAAACATTTCGATTCATATTATATTTTTTCATCTCGGATGCTACCTGAATTTTACCAAAAACAAAATAATTTAATTGCCTGAAGATGACTGAATGTACAGTTGAAAGTACTTGTGTATTAAAGAAAAACCTTATACAGCTTATAATTTTAAAAACAAGGATCATAACATTCATCGAGTGATTTGTAGGTTAATGCACCTTTAAAATTTTGTTAGCAAAGGGATTACGCCATTTTATATCATTAACTTTACTAATCTAATTTTTGTATGAATGATTCATTGTAATATATATATATATATATATATATATATATACTTTGTTTTTTTTTCCTTTTTTATTCCTTTAAACATTATTTTTAGAGGATATCCATATTTGAATAGACGTTGCGTTTATTTTATATAGTGTTTTATTTCAACAACCATTCAACTTGAACATTCAAGAATTTTATAAAAAAAAATCCACCCTTCAGTATGATTTGTACATGAAGAGAGATGAGCTGCTATGTTTTTTGCCTGAGTCAATTGCAATTTTTTTTAAATAAAAATCATTATATATATATATGACAAACTGTAAAAAGTTTTAGGGAGGTGTTTCATCTGTTGGAACTTCATTGGACTAGATTTGAAATCCAGCTCGGTGAAACACGTCCTAAAAACTTTCTACAATTTGTCATATGTATTTTATTTCAAAACTGTTCTTGATATATAAAACATATAAAAATTATACATTATCCCATATACATATATATTACAATAATAAAAATTGTTTTTCCCCAAAAAGTGGTTGACCAGTTTATTTCAAGAAGATAGCAATTTTAAGTCAAGTAATCTTTATAATTATAATTCTTAATATGAAGAGATAACACATTGATACTAATCAGTAGAAATCAAATATCCACTTATCTTATCCTTACTCTGAGTTTCAAGATTGCATACACTCAACGAGGAACTTGATTGTAAATTTTATGTATTACATTATTTTATATATATATATATATATATATATATATATTTTTAATGGTAATCTTATAAGTATAAGAAATTATACTTGCTCAGAAAACCTTCATTGTATTGATTTGCAAATAAACCAGCCAATAACAAAGGGGGAAAAAAGGTGTAAAAAAAAAAAGAAAGAACCATGAACATGTATGTTAAATGAAAATAATCGTCCAGCATATGAGTTCAAGGCCCAAAGAAAAAAAACCCCGATGCAAGTACCCAAAACAACTAATTAAAGTGCTCAATACAATGAGTAGAGCATACCTAGTTAAACCTAGAGAGCCAGACAAACCTACAATCCACTCAGGTGAAATATATATATTATTTTTCTTATGAGTTTCTTGTTTTAAGCAATATTGTTTAATACATTTCTCATTTTCTCCATTTATGTATTGATCATCAATCTATTTACATATGTAGTCATATATAACAAAGAATATATTTCACTCAAAATGCTTGATCAGAGAATTTCTGGAAGATTTTTTTTTTTAACCAAGCAATCTTTTTTAATAAACTACTTTTTTTAATGCAGCATCAATAAATAGACCATTAATAATAATAATAACAACAATGTTTATTTATCTCATTACTTTATTAAGAGATAAACAAATTATATATATATATATATATATACATAGAGAGAGAGAGAGTACAAACATATCATGCAAATAAAAAAATTGCAATAAATATACAATAATAGTTGTAAAGTCAAGAAATTTTTTCTCAAATATGAGTCTTTTGTATAAGTGGAATATTCCGAAATCTTTGGTTGCAGAATGAACTAGAATTGATTTTATGCTTGAATATATAAAAAAAAACAAAAAAAAAAACATTTTTAGACTGTTCCGCTTTTTATGCAATCATCTAAAAAATAATCAATGTGATGGTATGTAAGGATAAAAATAAAAGCCAATGACTAACCCAACAATAATTTATTCAAAGAAATAATATACAAAACTGTTCCTGACAAGCTGAGGGTAACAACAATACAGAAAATGTGAAATTATTTACTGATATAATTTCTCTGTGGAAGTACTACTGTCAGCTCCCAAAAAGTTAATTTGAGAATTTCTTCAAGAGTAATGATTTCACAAAAAGCTAGTATTGCTTCTCAAAGTTCATTTTTTGATACAATACATGCTTCTTGACAATGCTCCAAAGGCTCTTGACGGGGCTTAGATCCGGGTAACATGATAGTCACACAATGAACCTGTTGTTTGAAAACTCTAATTTACTGTATTCTTTATTTGTTATAGCAGTGTAAGCTGGAGCATTGCCAAATAGGAAAATGACTTTTCACTTGAATATCACTTCTTTTATGTGCTGTGCTTTTATGTGATGTAGGTGATCATGGCTCTCCACTTCGCCCTATCTCTTGTAGCTCTCAATATGTTTTGTCCTTTTACGACTTCTCTCAAACACTGTAATATTATCCAGTTGCTTAAACCAACTAGGTATGTCATGTGATGCTTTCTCATGACGTGTCCCAGAAATTTCAGCTGCCTCCTCTTGATGCTAAGTATAAGCTTCCTCCTTGTTTACATCCTCTCCAAATCCTCATCATTGCTCACATGTTTGGTCCATGATATCCTTAGCATCCTTCTGTAGAATCATACCTCTGTTGCCTTGAGTTTCTTCTTCATTCTTGAGGAGACCATCCAACATCCAAGGAGGATAGATGTCATGTAGCAGTTCAGTACTGAACTTTTTTTGTTACCAATGAAATCCTCCTGTCTTGTAATACTCAGCCTAGCTTTCGGAATGCGTCTTTGGCCATCCCAATACATCTTTGGATCTCAGCTTTGCACTTACTGTCCTTTGTCAGAACACTTCCCAGATATTTAAATTTCTGCACCTATTTAAATTTCTGCACCTGCTTGATTTTAGTGTCCCTGACCTGTAAATTACATTTCGGGCTTATCTTTTTATTGATGACCATGCATTCTGTCTTGTAGTTTATGCTTAATCCCTTCTTCTTGTTCTCGTTCACTACCTTCTGTAGGAGGTTTTGTAGTTTCCTTTCTGTGTCTGCTTGTCAGCACTGTATTAGTTGCGTATCTTATGTTGTTAAGATTGTGGTCACCAATGATGAATCCTGGTAGGATTTCCAGTTCCCTCAGAACTGTCTTACTTTCTATAGGTTGAATAAGTCTGGTGAGAAGACACATCCTTGCCTTATGCTCCTTTCTATCTTTGTATATCTGCTGAACTCATTCTCTATCCACATGCTAGCTGTTTTCTGCCAGTATAAGTTCTTGATTATATCTTTCCCAAATATATCAAGGTTGCCAAGCAATTCCAACAGCTCTTTGTGGTGTAATTTGTCAAATGCATTTGCATAGTCTATAAAACATAGGTGCACATTCTTCTGCATTTGTATTGCTCTTTTTGATAACATTCTGAGCATGAATATCCAGTGTCTTTTACGAACCTGCACTGTTCTTATTCTATCTTTGGTCTGATCACTACCTTCTTCTAAAGTTAATTCCTTTAGAAATTCAATGTAGCCCAAAGAGGTTGTTTTAACACTATCATCCACCTTTCAGCGGTCAACTGACCCATTACTGTTAGGTTCAAATCATAAATGCTCCATCTACTTTATGAAGAAAGCTTAGGTTCCTCCTTCTGGTACTACACATTTTGGTAACTGTTGGTGCCATCCAGTATCACTTTAAACTGATCTGTGAAGAGCAC